ATATGTTTTATTTAGTAATAATATATTAATTAATAAAAAATCTGATTTTGGAAATATTAAACTTCCAATGCGATTTTGGGAGTTTAAAAACTTAAAGTACTATTTTAAGTAATTACCACTATTTGTATTGTGGGTGTTGATAGATGGTTCTGTAGCGTACGGGGTTTGTGCTGAAGGTTTGGATTTTGATAGTGGGATATTCAAAAATCACAACGTTCTGAACACCATGCTAGCCTTCAACTGAATCATTCATTGACCCACACCATTCAGGATCAAAACGATCCTGATTCTAGGATCAATCTAGATTTTTAGCAGTCTCAACAACCCGGCTACTCACGATCGAAACAGTCCTCAGCTTATTGCTAGGTTCAATCTTTTTTCATCGTATTCTCAACGACTCAGTTTACTCAACATCCAAAATATTTCTAACTCTGTATTATGGTCAATCTGGGTCTTCACTGAAATCATTAACTGCAAGGGCTACTCTGCTCATTTTATATCACATAAAATGATATATAACAGCTCTGAATCATGTATATTAATATTTGGACTGAAATCATGTAATGTCTGGAGAACAATTATATATGCTTTTATCTAACACGCAATAAAAATTAAAAACGATTTAGAAGCTTTCCAACTTGATAAGGTGAATTCCCAATATCCTATGGTTGAATCATTTGCTTCATATGTCCAATTCAGTAATTCAACGAGTTCTCTTTCCAAAATTAAAGATTCAAACCATCGGATATGTCTTCAAAATATCTTGATCACTTAGCCTTTTCAAATTATATTATTACTTATTTCTTAATCTATTCCACTTTGATAGTGCTTTTAGGGGGTAAATATTTGAATGTAAAATACTAGTAATCCCTCCAATATATAGGGGCCCGTTTGGTAAAGCATTTGAAAAGTTGAAAGATACTTTTGAGATAAAAAAAAGTTGCTTTCGAATATGTTCGGATAATTTTTTTGAAACTGCTTTGTCTAGTTAAAAGAGCTTTTAGAGGACACAAGCCTAACGTCCTGACGTGACTTTTGACAAGTCAAAAACTGTTTCTTCCTATTGTAATGTTCACACTT